AAAAAAAAAAAAAAAAAAAAAGGTGGAAATTACACCAATGCATATTTTTAAAAATTGTAGTTCAAAAATCAAATATGAAGTTTACATTTTCATAAATCGGCCACTCACGACTCCTCTCCACAAATAGCGATCCGAGATCAGCTTCGCTTGACGCCATTACAACCGGAGGTAACGATCGCCACACCCAACAGTCGTTCACACTGCGTCGCGCAATGTCGATGTCCCTATATCGACAACCCACGACACCTTGCTACAGGTGGCGTTCGGAGATCGGTGTCGCTCGACTCCTTTGCAATTGTTGGTGACTCCTACCACTCTTAATAGTCGCTTCTCCCATAACTCCACTCCTCGCTTTTTCAATGCATCCACTTCAGTGCGGTGGCATCCACTCCTCGACGACGTTGCAACGAGTCATCAATAGCAGCTTCTCCAATTCATCCACTCCTAAGACCTCGGCGCAATGCCGCCACATAATGAAGAAGCTTTGCACTACTTAGTTTTAAGGGTTGTGATTTGAGGCGATGCTGATGGTACCACGACAAATTTGGGGATTTTCTTTGGTGGGAATTGTTGAATTAAATTGTAATCATGCTAAAAATCGTGAATCACAATACAATAAATTAATAAAACGAATTAATACACACGGAAATTATTGTTGATATGAACAATAGTTGTAATAGCAGTCAGATCTTCCTCTCCTTGCTCCTTACGAAATATTAGCCGTCAATGAGGCAAGTTAATAAAACAATATGTAGATGAGAGGTGACATAGCATTTTCAAAGGAAATAATTGAGCCGTCCCATTATGACTCGAACTCTAATTAGCCCACATACTTATAATTACCACATTATATAAAATACAACCTATAAGGTGTAAAAAGCCCAATAGATCACTTAATAAATTTGGTCCAATCAAAAATATCACTATAAGTCATAAATCTAATCGGTAAAATTTATGATCGAATGTGAAGTTCACATTAGAAATTATTCCAACATTCTCCTACTTGGTCAAACATTTAATTTCAGTAACAAAACTTTTAACACCAGGGTTAGAATACATAGGTAGCCACTAAAAATAGCTCCAATGATGACATCTTACGCAACATGATCCGGTCGAACAAGAATATTAACATCGGACATGAAACTCATTACACTAATTAAGCGATATAAGACCATTCCACAGCTATAAATGCTAATATCCTTATCGACATGGATCCCCATCCTCCAACCAATGTGATAGCATGTGCTATGAACTTAGCATCAAATGTGATCGATTTTCATAATGCTTCAGATCAAAATGAAGCCACATGTCTCCAAAAGAAACCCATCTTATATCTTTATCTATCATATCTCAAGATTACAATATCTTAATAAAAAGACATAAATCAAATGCATACTCAGAATAATTCATGAATAGGGGAAATATATTTTATTACCAGAAGTGGCTATACCCGAAAACATAAGGGTTGCCTACGTACTTCGTAAAGGGATCAAGCCCAAAACGTAGTTCTTTTACATAAATAACTCCCACTAACCAAAACTATCAATTGTTTCCACAATGCCCATTTAGATACATGTGTCTTAAAGACTCTTGGAGCAAGTCCTTTAGTTAAATGACTTGCAATCATTGCCTCTATATTGATATGCTCTATTTTCATCTGCCCTTCCTTGACTCTGTTTTTAATCATCAAATATTTGATATCAATATACTTTGACCCATCCGAACTTTTATTATTCTTTGAAAAGAACACTTTTGCACTGTTATCATAGTATATGGTGATTGGTTTTGAGATGGAATCAACAACTTTCAAACCAGAGATGAAATTTCTTAACCAAACAGCTTGGACTGTAGCCCATAACATGACACAAATTCAGCTTACATAGTAGAGGATGCCACTAGAGTTTGTTTAGCACTTTTTCAAGAGATAGCACCATCAGTTAACGTGAAAATATAACCTGAGGTTGATTTCAAATCATCTTGACATCCTGCAAAATCAGAATCTGAATAACCTACCATCTCAAGATGATTTGAACGCTAGAATGTAAGCATATAATCTTCAGTTTTCTTCAAGTATCTCATAACCTTCTTAGCTTCTTTCCAATGCTCTTGTCCTAGATTTGACTAAAATCTACTAAGGACACTTACTACGTAAGCTATATTCGATCCAATATAAACTTGAGCATACATCAAGCTCGCCACAGCACTAGCATATAGAATCATCTTCATAAATTTCCTTTCTAGCTCATTTCTTGGACATTGAGTTTTGTTAAACTTATCCCCTTTTATGATAGGCATATCATCAGGTGCACAAATTCTACATATTGAATCTTTCTCAAACACGCCGCATATAAGTTTTCTGAGAAAGTCTTAACAAGTCACGATTTCTATCACGATGTATTTCAATGCCAAGCACATAAAAGGCTTCTCTTTCATCTCAAAATTAGCAGACAACATTTCATTTTGAATCTAATTTACTTTTGAAAATTTACTTGTTATCTATAACTTTAGCATTTGGAGGAAGTTCAACAAGATCCCAAACTTTATTATTTTTCACAGAATTCATTTCATCTTTTATAGCAACTATCCATTTATCAGCCTCAAAACTTGTCAATACTTGATTATAAGTTACATGATCAACAATATGCCTAATATTAAAATTACTCTCCAATAAATATGTAATATAATAACTGGGTAATGCAGATCTCCTTTCCCTTTGTGAAATTCTAACTAGTGGCTCAGAAAATGATTCAATCATTGTTTAAGGGATTGGAAGTTCCTCTTGGTTCCTTGGTTCTTCATTAAAAACTTCAATTGGTTGAGAATCAACTCTTTCCTATCTCTCCAAAATCATTCTCCAGAAATTTAGCAATAATGGACTCAACAATTGTAGTATCACGATTTGGACAATAAAACTTATATCCTTTCGATCACTCTGAGTACCCAATAAAGTAATTAGGAGTGGATTTCGAGTAAAGCATTTTATAATCCTTTCGTATTACTTGTCTTCCCATCACCTATGCCCTCCAAAATCTGTTATTGATATCTTATCATCCCGGTCCCTCATTGGTGCCGTTCCGAGCATGTCACCCACTCGCCATTTGGTGAATATAGAGCAGTTCATCAATAGTAATGCAGCCACAAAGCATAAGAAAATTGAAAAATCATAGTTTTGCATTTTGCTCTGGTATTACAGAACCAAAAAATTGGGCAGTCTATTAAAAAGCCCTAATTAGAGTAGTTTTCTACAGAGAATCAGTGGATTCAGTAAAGAGAAGTAGAATAAAGATAAAGCTACAGAAAAGTCCTGTGGAGTAGGATAAGCTAAAAAGAAGAATGCGTGAGTTCGAGGATAACGAGTCACCAAAATCAAATTCTGTTGATGATAAAATTGGGTCCATGAGAATGAGGACAAAAATGCTTTACTGATTTTCTTCTCCTCTTTTCTCTTCCCCTTCCTTCAATGAATCAGTGGGAAAAAATACGAATTGCGAAAATGTACCACAAAGATACAAAGAGAGCTCCAAACATGGATTTTCTACAATAATCGCAAAAGGAAAGAGATTTGGGAGAAAATGTAAAACAACAGTCCCAGGAAAAAAAGTATTATACACAATTGCTTCAAGAAAGGAATTTTTGTTGAGAAAAGCACACACGCACAAGTACACAAAATTCTGAAAATACCTTAACGAGAATGAGAGAATAGGTATAAAGCAGAAATAATGCGATTATTATACTACGAAAGGATCTCTCTTAGTATGGTGGCTCTAATATCAATTGTTGAATTTAATTGTAATCATGCTAAGAATCGAGAATCACAATACAATAAATTAATAAAATGAATTCATACCTGCGGAAGCAATTCTTGATATGAATAATAGTTATAATAGCAGCCAGATTTTTCACTCATTGCTCCTCACAAAGTATTAGTTGTCAATGGGACAAGTTAATAAAATAAAATGAAGAGGGGAGGGGACCTAACTTTTAGATAGGAAATAATTGAGTCGTCCCATTACGATTAGAACTCTAATTAGGTTTTATTTCCGGCCTACATACTTAAAATTATCACATTATATAAAATACAACTCATAAGGTGTAAAAGGCCCAATAGACCATTTAATAAATTTGGTCCAATCACAAATATATTATTATGAGTCATACATCTAATCTATAAAATTTACAATCGAATGTGAAGCCCACATTTGAAATTATTTCAACAGGAATCTGAGGTGGTGGAGGCCTTTTGTTGGATCTCATACTGTGATTTTTGTTGGTGGTGGTAGATCGGGTGGTGTGACTGTGGTCTAACGGTGGCAATAGGGGTTTTGTAGTTGAAAATCTTGATTTGTTGGTGGTTGTGGTGGTGAGATGGTGTGATTTTGAAGTTGAAAATGGAAGTTTGTTGGAGACAGTGATGGTGGTGATAAAGTGGCACTGTCGTTGCACCCAATTCACCGTCAGATGTAAAATTGAGTGAAATGGCCGGTGGAAGTGGTGGGTTGCTGAGGCTATGTCCGTGTCTTTGTTGTTGGCAGTAAGGCCGTGTTGATGATGGTACAACTATTAAGCTGTGATGGTAGTGGTGGTCGTAAATATACGTGGTTGTAGTGGTATGTGACCAACTCCTTAGTTATTTCTGACCTAAAAATTATGATAATATGTGATTAAAAATAATTTGTGGCCAACTAATTTAAAAATCTGTGATCGACGAATAAACAATGACCAATAAATATTTTGATTTTTGACCGTGAAATAATCAATGATCAATTAATTTGATAATATGTAACGTTGTGAGCTATAAGTATGCATTTGTGACTATTAATTGTATAATTGTGGCATTAATATATTTAATTAATAAAATATTTTTAATAATTAATTAATAACTAATTTTTGAATTTTGAAACTTAAAACTTGAAAATTGAATTGTCCAATGTCCATATTTAATACATGACTTATGAATTTTTCCCTTCCGAAAATTCGACGGGTGCAAAGGAGGACTATAGTTCTGTACCTGCGCCCATCATTATCCTATTTGTTCACAAACTCGGACGAAGCATTAGATCTTCAAAGCGCTTAATTATTGGACTACTCCGTTAACTTACGCGATCAAAATGTTGGCTTATTAAGCCCTTTTTTTTTTAATCTCTCTTTAGAATAAAAATTCTTTAATTTTTAAACTCATTTTCAACCATGTAAAATTTTGCTAGTAAATTCAAAATTTTCACTATTTTTTAACCACACATTATTTCAAAAATAACTATTCAAATTTTCATTTTTCCCCCAAAATAATAGCCATCGAACATAAACTAAATTACTTGTTCAATCAATTGACTTCCTCTCGATTATTCGCTAAAACCTTTTCTTTTAATTGTAATAAGGAAATTAGACATAAATAGCACTAGATGGATCACGGGAAAATGATTGTATCCTTTCATATATTTTCAAAATTGCAACACTTTTGGTTCTTAAATGATGTTACACAATTCATGACAATTTTAATTTGTTATTCACTTTTTCAGTTTTCTTTCAGGTCAAGGAAACAGATTGAACGGTGGCTTTAGAAATTATTTTCATTCACCCATCTACTGTTGTGGGATGTGGGCCACTCACTAGAGCTTAGTACATGTTGACAAGAATATAAGTTGCATAGCATTGTGGACAAGTTACCAACAAGCAAAATAAACCTTTATTTTCCTTCTTTTTCAGTATTCACTTTATAAAATTATTAAAAAATAACGAGTTAAATTGACGGCTAAGAATCATTATAAAATATTTTTATAAAGCCTTGTAACTATCATCGAAACCTTTATCTTCAATTTTATTATTATTATTATTATTATTATTATTATTATTATTATTTTCACATTGATAGGGTATGACAATACCACACTAACACGTTAGTCATTCGAAATTTTGATATTTAATGAGTTTTTTATAGTACATAATATTGAGAAAATGTGGCACTTTTACTTCCATGCATGGGCCAATTGCTTAAACTTTTAGTGCATGTCAACAAGGATACACCACCCATGAAACAACATTACACACAGATAGATAACTATAAAAAAGGGTCATATACTGTATATACATCGAGGAGTCCACCCCTCTCAAGTAGAGAGGGCCCGCTTCAAATAAAATATTATTTATTCAAAATGGACCCCCTCCATGTGAGGATGGTGGATACCCAGGTGGACACCACTTGAAGTACAGGTAGCATTATCTTGAAGAAAATGAAAATTACACTGTTACTCTATTTTTTAGTCGGTTTTGGTGTTAGTTTTGAATTACATAAAAGAGTAATTAGTTGGTCTCAATCTTTTAAAGTTGGTGTCTCGATAAACTATTGAAGTCATTAAACAATTTTGGTGGTTATATGTACTTGTAAATGTACATGTTTTCTGATTGGTGGATCTAGTTATCTTTATATACTTGACGAGCTTTGAAAAAAGATTTTGAATTCAAGGTACTTGGCGATTTAATTTTGTTTTACAAAAGCTTCAATAAATCGAGTATTTGAGTTGAACTCGAGATAATAAGAGGCGCAGGTCCTTTTCACTGATGTTGTGAATGATTAGTTTATTAGTTCGAGCGGTCTGTCATTGTTGATCTTAACCCTTGATAATCTATCTTGTATCAAGCTATTTGTTTCAATTGTGCAATAACAAAGTGCAAATCAACGTGGCCAGGAATAATTTTCATGTTACACACATTTTCAGGACAACAAGTTGACATCAATGTCAAGTAGATCATATTAATTAAAACTCGATCAAGTGTTTAACAAGGACATTTAATAATAAATTATCCCACATGTTTAAACAAGTGGGCTACACAATAATATATTGCTGTCTTGTATTTGCACTTTGTCGTCTCGGAGATTTTAATATTTTATATGTAAACATCTGTCTTACATTTAATTACGCATGTCTATGTGAAAACGTTATGACAAATTAGTAGGTACACTATGCCCCGTTTGGCCCTCATTATTTCTCACTAAATTAAATTAAATTTTTCTCTCTCCTATTTTCAATCACACAATTTTCAATAAAATAATATTACACCTAAACTAAAAACTTTTCTTTTATTTTCAACAACTCATTTTTCATAAAAACACTATTCAAAACATTATAATCTCCAAATAATGAGGTTCAAACGGGGGCTATAATAAAACGAATTCAAGTTCTACTGTCTTACTGTTACATTAATTGAAAGGTCAATTGCATTGGAAGCAATACAAATCCTTATACGAAGACGTAATTTTCATATTTTAGGAACTTTGAAATTTAATTACTTAACATTGTTTGCATTGTCCAGCATACTATGGATGTAAGGCTGGCATGTGCCGTAAATGTCAGGATCGACATATACAAGTCGGACTTTAATTTTTGATTCAAATTTTGGAATAAATATTAAGAAAATTCTGCACAAATTGTGGTCCTAAAATCATCCTAGCCGTCGACCCGAGAAAAAGTTATGCAAAAGGTATTTTGAATACCAAAACATTTTTAAAAATCAAATTACGTATTCTCTTGTTACTAATATTTAAAATCACCGTACAAATTGTTTGATTTATTAAGAATGATCAATCAATTGATTATAGAGATCAATAACATCGAAATAACTCAATGTCGAACTTAACTTAAAAAGTTTTTTGTCTTAATATCTACTTATTTTGATAAAAAAAAGAAAAAAGAAAAAAAAAAAGTAAGAATTACTCTCAAAATTGATTCACATGCTCTCTTGTTACTAAGGAAAAAGCTAAATTGTACAGCTAGCACGCTCTTATTACTGAAAACTCAAGATTTTTTACTAAAATTTGTGCCATTATTAATAAATATAAAATAAAATATTACAGCAGTTAGAAACTTCACCGGGTAAAGCTATATTTCTGTGTTTCTGGGTCGACCCAATCGTCGATGGATTTAAGCTATTATCCACGTCAGAACGTGGGGTCCACGCTAAAAATGGATTATAAATCTGTTACGTGGAAATGAACTGCAACCTTCAGCTTCTTCTATAAAGTTATTATGATCTTCTTGTTCTCCTCATCAATTTTCTTTGAAGTACCGTGATCAGTTTAGTCTCTCTCTCTCTCTATATAACCTTTACTTACATATATAAATACACTCTACTCTCTCTCTCTCTTTCTCACCCCTCCCCCCCGGGATTCTTGCATTTCTTGGAGAAAATGAAGGAGAATATGAGAAACCCTTTACAATTATCATCTTTGAATCATATTTCTATGGTGTGTAAATCAGTTGAGGAATCCACTAACTTTTATGAAAACATTCTAGGGTTTGTCCCTGTAAGAAGGCCTGGATCATTGAAATTTGATGGGTCATGGTAGTAATCACATCATATATTTTAGATTCTTGAATGCAAATGAAATTCGAATAGATTTTCTTGATGGGATTTTGTTAATTTCTTGAATTTTGCAGGCTATTTGGCCATGGAATTGGGATCCATTTATTGCAGTCTGAAGATCCAGAAAGTTTGACAAAGAAAACCGCCATTAATCCAAAGGATAATCACATGTCTTTCCAGGTGATTAACATGCCGTGCCACCGGTGGCCTGTTTGAGAAAAATCAATCTTGAAATCCAATTTTTCGTTTGAACTCTAAATGGATTGATTTGTTTGCTTGAGTTTAATAGGCTCTGATATTAACTCTTTCACAAAATCTAGTCCCGTCTAGTACTTCACATATTTTCATCCAATTATATGTTTTCATGGCAGTGCGAGAGCATGGGTATGGTGGAGAAGAAGCTGACGGAGATGGGGATCAACTACGTGCGACAGCGGGTAGAAGAAGGTGGAATC